AAATGACAATTGATTCCTATCATTTTCTACAACTTATATTTTCGATGTGATCATCAATCCAATTCAATCATATTTCATTAACTCGGCCAGATTTTCATATCTCTACCAATTCGACGATTACGAAAAGATATTTATAATCATAAGCTTTTTTGGATCGAGTTCTTTTTCAACTCTCTCACCAATTTGTCCTTATATGTGTAACCATGTAGGTTTTTGTAACGGTGACAACTATTCTAAATCACATGTTTAATACATTAAATAGTTATTGGTATCTAGCAACACATAATTGTTACGCAAGACAAAATATTGTAATTTGACAAAAAAAATTGTGATAATATTTGTGTGTACAATTACTTTTTTTGCTCTCGAGACTATATTGAACACATGGCATATATTGTGTCACTCTTGTCCAGTTGGACCCTTAGACGTGTATCTTATTACACGGGATAGGAAAACTATATCTAGGTCACTCATGTCCCTCGGTATAATTTATGGAGTACCCATCAACCATCTTTATGGTCATTCTGTTACAAATAATGTTTGATTGATAATAAAGTACTTGAATCTACATCTAGGGTATATAGTAGTTTCAAGTCGAAGGGTGGTATACACCATTATTACCATGAGAATAACTTATGACTCACTATTACAAAATAGACCTTTCGTAACACCATATTACAATAGTATTTCTATTAACAGTGATAATAACTCTATTTTGGGCGTCTTTTTTTTATTTACTAAAACATATTTTACTACGGTCATAGTTAACAACCATAGTAAAATGTACCTGGAGTGAAAGGATATGAATCTCAGCACCAGCTATTTCTCATTTATCATGGTGAAATGGGTTTGACCTTGTATATCACCCCGGTTCTTATAATCAACTTTGGTGTAAGATACAATCATTTCATCACGGTTCGTATTATCAATTGTGGTGAAATGTGTTACATATTTATATATAAGTAAAATTATCTCTCACTTGAATACATAACAATCGTCTCTCTTAAAACAAAACCCTAACATCTCTTTCACTCATCTCTCTCAAAATAAAACTCTAACATTTTTTTCACTTGTCTCTCTTATATGGAAATCCCAAACTTATACAACAAATTTGTTTTCTTTGAAGGATTACCTTTATTGCCTCAAATCATAGGAAATGACTACCTTACAGATTTGTCTTCACAATAGTTTATGTTTCAAAATATGTTTATGTAATATTGTTTACGTTTCAATAGATTGTTTCATAATATTTGAACTTTCTCGTTGTTTTGACTTGTAGATAGGGATGGTGAATGGAAAAAATTAACAAGTATGAAGCTAAAGTGAGCACTGCAAATTTGTGTGAAAGACCCAGAATAATATTCAATTAATAGATAATAAACTCCCTTCAATTGATTGCAAGTCAAGCGAGTATGAACACACTCAATCATGAGTCAATTGAATCTATCTCAAGTCCATTGGGGTCTATCATGATCATCAAGACTCTAGACTCTCAATCAAAACAGAGTGTAACTTAACAATTGACCATTACAAGCATGTTTCACGTCGATATCGTCACTGTCTGAATAGGTCAGAAATTGCATAACCACGGCATGAAGGAAGTTGCATACAAAAGATATACGGTCAACAAAACATGCTGCAAAATGGAAAATATTGAATCGAGCATAGGACGCCACATATCACGAATGGAAGGATGCTCGCACATCACACGAAAAAATATTAAATGATACAACATTTCTGTAGATCATAATTATATAACCAATAAGATAATTTTAAGAATATTCAATTAAAAATCAAACTATTTTACGCATTTCATCTTTTTTACTTTACTTTTCTTTTATTTCATCTTTTTCTATTTTACTTTTCTTTTATGTATTTCGTAATTTAACAGCTCGATGTATTTACATGTTATACTTAACTCTCTTTTGAATAGTTGAAAAACTAACAACAGAGAGTCAGGGTTTCCCGCCCAATATAAACACTTGATAAAAAAAACATCGATGATCGACTCGTTTTCAAATTCAACAAGAACAACGAATGACTCTAAACAAATATTAACCTTTTAGCCTATAAGTAAAAATCTACACCAAATTATCATTCTACTGTAATATTTATCATTAAAAATAATGTTCTAAAGTCATATGATGTTTATATAATCACCCATGCACGCGTCGTAATCACTTTTTTTCCTCATTCAAATTGAGTTATTGTCCTAAAGTTTAAGATTCTGCAATGAAGGTGATAGTTAGGAGTATTATGAACGTAAAAGCTTTTACCATTTTGGTCGCAATTTTGGATTCCAACGTCCCTATAGTTTCATAGGTTTGAATTGAAAAGGCAAGATGAATGAGTTAATGTGAAAACAATTAATTAGTGTGGCCTAGCTTAATAACTAACCAGCTACCAATTATTTTGTGATTAGTCACTAGTCAGTCCTTCTATCTTTTATATCAACAACCAACACTAGTCTTCTTTTATCCTCCTCATGGTTGATGGTTGGGTATGCATCGGTTTTACTACGAAATATGTGTTTAAATCTCAGAATAATAGGAAAATACCATAAGATTTTCGTTGGAGATAATTTTTTCTTATATCGAGATAAACCGCATTTTGGGCACTCATTCAATGATGCATATTCGTTTCGAAACAAAATACAATCATTTAGATATGCATGTATCTTATCATAGCTCATGCCAATAGAGCACAACATTTTTTTGGCCTCGTAGGTTCGATTAGGAAGAACATTATCCTCAGGAAGCATATCTCTCAAAATGGCTAATAACTGTGTGAAACTTTTATCCGACCATCCATTGCGCGCCTTTAAGTTGTACAATTTTAATACCGCAGACAATTTTGTGAATTTGGGGCAATCTTTATACAACGGTTTCTCTGCATCGCTTACCAACCTCTCAAACATTTTGGGACAATCTTGAAGATCTTCTTCAAGTGCTTCTGCAATCTCTTCAACCCGATCACAATCATATGTATCCGTGGCATTGTCGTACGAAACATAGGTCGCATTACTTTTCACCCCCGGTTCAACATTCTCGATGCTTTTCTCACCATGAAATATCCAACACGTATAACTTCGATCAATTCCGCGCATTAGTAAATGCGATTTCAATCCATTTGCGTCAACCCGACCCACATAACAACAACCCAAGCAAGGACATTTCATTCTATTCGGGTCTTCAGCGTGTTCAACAGCAAATTTAACGAACTCTAATACACCATTCTCGTACTCTTTTGACAATCAATCGGAACACATCCATTTTTTATCCATGGTTTTAACTATTATCTAAGTTAAACAAAAACACTAATTAGGGCACAAAACGGTATAATGCGGTGGGAGTACAATGAATTTAAAGAGTCTGTGTTGTCAACAAAAATCAAACATGTGATTAGAACAATTCTAGAAATGAGGATTGTAACGTGTGAGTGAAAGGAGCATAGCCACAAATGTGGTCTAACCTTAGAGGCCTAGTTCATGTTACTGTTGTGGTCCTATAACATATTCAATCAATGATTGTCAATGTTACAATTTTAGAGACATTAGCTTAGTTGTGAACTCATTCGAAGATTCATGATTTGTGTTATTTTTTACTATTACTAAGTTGAATATTAGATGGAGGATTTACATTATGTGATTCCTTTGTTCCTTGCAGGCATGTCTACATGAGCTAAGCATACATTATGTTCGAACTATCACTCCATCAACAGGTTCATGTTTGTCATCCCAAAGTTCTGGATTCCTCTTTTTTCAAATACTCCATGTTAAAATGATTTACCATACGGAAGAAATACATCATAAAACCCTTGACTAAGAGCAGCAGGTTATGTAAGGGAAACTAGAGATACACCTTCTTCCAACAATGTATATCAATTACTTATTACAAGATCAATGATATGACTTACTATTAAGTAATGAGAAGAAGTAAGAGAGGATGTGTTAACCTGAACACTACTCTCTTCATGAAACCAAACATCTAACCAAATATAAATCGACTTAAAGGAGAGAAAAACATAAGAATAAGAGGGAGGTTTGAGTTGTGTTAGAGTTTAATATTTTTATTTATAAATTTTAGATAAAATCCAATTTAAACTAAAGTGTCGGAGATATAGAGATAAGGAAAGAGAGATAAACACTTGGAATTTATCCATGATCACCCCCCCCATAATCCAAAGTAATGTCCAATCCTCTCACATTTGAGAGACTTTTATTATAATCCAATTGAATACCATTTCAATAAGATATATTATAGTCCAATTGACTTACACCTTAAATTTTTTAATAAAAAAGAACTGACTATAACTTTGTCTCTTTGTCTTCTTAAAAAGCTAACAACAATTTAGCCATTTATGCATAATTCTGAGAGTGTTTAATAATATATGTAGCTTCATTTATTAGACCATTGAAGGATTTTGAATGATGAGATAAGATTTATTATAGCCCATTGTACTATAGAGCAGGATAATTCTACACAACCTTGGACTCACAATAAGAATTTTACCACATGACTTGTACTAGTGTTGATCTTGTCTAAATGCCAAAACTCCATTATGCCTTCACTCTCCTTCCATCTATATAACAATATTCCATCTTCATCATGAGAGGGTAGAAAAATGAGAAGAGAAGAATGGTCGAAGAGGCTTACAGTTAGAAAAGGTATGACGTTGTTGTTAAAGCATGAAAAAATACAGAGGAATTTTGTTCTATTTTGGCATAGAGGTTACGCTATTGATACTGATCCACACATAACTTGTACAATTGTATATTGTGTAGTATTGTCTGTTGTCTCTCAAATTCAATCTCATTACATTGATATGGAAATCATGAAAGCTATTCTTCAAAGAATAATCTTATAAAAATTCACTTATTGACTACCAAAGGATAAACTCATGAGAGGATAAAAACTTGGTCTTTTTAGAAGAGGATGAAAGTGTTGACTTATGCAACATTGAGTTAACCATAGAAAAAAGTATAGAAGGATGAAGAAATTTTATCTTAGATAAAACTGATTTTGTGAAACTTCTTCACGAGGAGATGGTGGTGTGCCTGATGTTGTAAGTCGTTTCCCAACAACAGCTTTCTGGACAACGAATCCGAAGTTTCCCAACAACGTGCCTCTGGCCCTTGCCCTCGTATAACCGAAGAATTTGAAGTTTGCAACGAGACAACGAATCAGGAAGCGAGTTGGAGAAGAAGATGAACCACGGTTGGACGGTGAGGAGGGAGGAGACGAGTTGGAGAAGAAGATGAACATGAGCGTTTTCTGGGTGTGTGGGGTTTCGTTTGTATAAAGTGGGGTTTTTGAAATCTGATAACCAATTTAGGGATTTAGAAACTATTTAATTACCTTAGACAGCGCTTTCAAGAAGCGCTGCTAAAGGTATTACCTTTAGCAGCTCTTTAGGCTTTAGCAGCGCTTTAGAGTAATGCCTTTAGCAGCGCTTCTTGAAAGCGATGTCTAAGGTATACCCTTTAACACACCTTTAGCAGCGCTTTTAGTAAGCGTTGTCTAAGGTATACCCTTTAACAGCGCTTATTCTAATTTATTTATTTTTACTGAAAACCTATAGCAGCGCTTAGGGAAAGGAAGCGCTGTCTATGGTAAGGCCTATAGCAGCGCTTATAATAAGTGTTATCTATAGTATACCTTTAGCAGCGCTTACTCTAATTTTTTAATTTTTTTTTACTGAAAATCTATAGCAGCGCTTAGGGCATAAGCGTTGTCTATGTGGCGCTGTCTAAATTCAATTTTGGCATAGTGACTCAATCATGAGTCAATTGAATCTATCTCAAGTCCATTGGGGTCTATCATGATCATCAAGACTCTAGACTCTCAAACAAAACGGAGTGTAACTTAACAATTGACCATTACAAGCATGTTTCATGTCGATACCGTCACTGTCTGAATAGGTCAGAAATTGCATAACCACGGTATGAAGGAAGTTGCATACAAAAGATATACGGTCAACAAAACATGCTGCAAAATGGAAAATATTGAATCGAGCATAGGATGCCACATATCACGAATAGAAGGATGCTCGCACGTCACACGAAAAAATATTAAATGATACAACATTTCTATAGATCATAATTATATAACCAATAAGATAATTTTAAGAATATTCAATTAAAAATCAAACTATTTTACGCATTTCATCTTTTTTACTTTACTTTTCTTTTATTTCATCTTTTTTTATTTTACTTTTCTTTTATGTATTTCGTAATTTAACAGCTCGATATATTTACATGTTATACTTAACTCTCTTTTGAATAGTTGAAAAACTAACAACGGAGAGTCGGGGTTTCCCGCCCAACATAAACACTTGATAAAAAAAACATTGTTGATGGACTCGTTTTCAAATTCAACAAGAACAACGGAATGACTCTAAACAAATATTAACCTTTTAGCCTATAAGTAAAAATCTACACCAAATTATCATTCGACTGTAATATTTATCATTAAAAATAATGTTCTAAAGTCATATGATTTTTATATAATCACCCATGCACGCGTCGTTATCACTTTTTTTCCTCATTCAAATTGAGTTATTGTCCTAAAGTTTAAGATTCTGCAATGAAGGTGATAGTTAGGAGTATTATGAACGTAAAAGCTTTTACCATTTTAGTCGCAATATTGGGATTCCAACGTCCCTATAGTTTCATAGGTTTGAATTGAAAAGGCAAGATGAATGAGTTAATGTGAAAACAATTAATTAGTGTGGCCTAGCCTAATAACTAACCAGCTACCAATTATTTTGTGATTAGTCACTAGTCAGTCCTTCTATCTTTTATATCAACAACCAACACTAGTCTTCTTTTATCCTCCTCGTGGTTGATGGTTGGGTATGCATCTTTACCTTTAGTTTGGAAAATGTTTTTTTTCCTGTCTGATTCATTTTTGTTGAAATTAGTATAAAGAAGAAATTTCGTGTTTTATACTCTTTAGCAAAATGTTTTTGTGTTTGATGAACTCGAGAGGACAAAGTGAGTGCTATTCCCTAATAAGAAACATAATCATCCTTTAGTAAAATTTCTGACAAAAATTATTCTTGAGTCTATACATGATGTCATGATTGCATATCTGATAGGTTTACTTGTTGTCTGATTTTTACATGATGCCATGATTGATTGACAAATGTCTTTGTTTACATGTGGTCTGATCTTTATTGTTGTACATGTCTTTAGTAGTCTTGTAAGTTGGGATGCTAGTCTCTCTGACTTACTCCTTCGATCTCAAATTATAAGACGTTTTGAAAAATTTAAACGAATTAAGAAATGTAATTACTATATTATGGAGAGATGAAATGATGTGTAACTTTATAAAAATATCCTTCAATAATTATATTGAAAAATGAAATTAAAAGAGTATGAAAAAGAAAGAATAATAAATGATAGAGGATATATTGAAAAAAAATTTATTAATGTTGCATTAGAATGTTTGAGAGTTAGTACAGTGGTTGCTGTAGGACTTGTTTCTCAGGAAATTGGTTTGTTGTTTCTGTTGACCTTTGTCCTGTGCTTGTTCTGATAGTTAATGTGACTATATCATCCTTGTTGTTAGTATACTGATTGTAGTGTCCCTGCCATCAGGCTGATCTACTATGTGATAAGTGTAATTTTAGTGCTGAATGTTGTTTTGGGTTTCTTATTATTATCCTTATTGTTTGCTGGTGCATATGAAAAATGTCTATTGGGTCAATGTGAAAACAAGTGGCAGAAAGTCCTGAAATTTGATTTGTAAAACTAGAAAAAATAAAATACTAGATATTTAATTACAAATTGATTAAACTAAAAATGAAAAGAAACAAGAATGAAACACTAAAAAAATGCATCATTCGAATCGACTGAAGAACAAAAGACAAATGGTTCTCAAATTTACATTAAAAACAATACAACAAATTTAACATAGCTACAGTTTAAAATGATGAATATGTGAACCAGTTCACAGTATAAAGTTAATAACATACTTGACACTTCCTAGTATATGTCACAGCTAGAATAAATAAAAAAAAATCAATTAAGTAAATCAAAATTTCAGTTATTAAAGATTTCAATATTAATAATCTAAATTTAAATTTCACTATTTTTAAGTAAAACATTTTTATATTAAGCCTAATAATTACAAAATTTATATTAAAAAACAATCAGTTTGCTAATTTAAAAAACAAAATGTCAAACCCAGGAGTAAAGGTTTCAATTCAAAACAACAGGCAAAACATTACATATTTCCATTTCCACTACTACTCACTCACGTTGAAGAATTCACAGACTCTCAACTCAAAACATTAACAACAAAGTGCCTTGAATGGTGGCTCAATGTCATAACTTAAAGCAACAGAGTATGAATCGACAGAGTTGAATCTTATTTTAGGTCTAAAAAGGAAGCGTTTAGATTTCTTTGTATGTTTAGCACCATAAAGAAATGGTAAAGGATGATTACTAATAAACAAAACATATATATAACCAAGAACTGAGAAATGCAGTCATTTTTCCCCAAAATCAAGACAATGTAAATAAAGATTACACCAAATGGTAGTGAAGTATATAAGAGATATATCATGTCCTAAAGTCTGAATACAGAAAAAGATAAATAAACAAAGTCTGCAACTTCCCAAGCCCAAATATTGTCAGATAAGCCTTTTTCAAAACCATTGCAACCTTCTTCCTCTAATTCAAATATGCCTGAAGGGCTATTTGGCCCATTTTAGCAAAGAATGGCAACTTCATCAATTAATTTATAAGGAATGTTGAATACTGATTTTTAGAAGCTTAATAAAATGCTGTTTTCAGCCCATATGCTAGAAGAAATTAGACAAGTGTACATGGATGAGATTTGACCAAAAATGCCATACGCCGCCCCCATATGCTAGAAGAAATTTGACAAGTGTATATGGATGAGATTGACCTAAAATGCCATACGTCCAGCCAGTCTGCTTTCAAGTATCCTCTTATCTATGGCTGCATCAATGGAGCTCATCTGCAAGATAAACATCATAATACTGTTGAACAAGTAGTCATAGACCGCAATTACAACAATAAATAAATTATTTTGGAGCATGGTCTTATGCAAGAGATCCAAACTCTACGAAAGAAGCTGACCTGGGCCAAGTCTGAATTTCACTTGTTCCATAAAATAAATTGTAATGATGCTACGAATGAGCAAAAATCTGTTGGGTAAAGATCATGTTCCACCCAAAACCCCAAACTTTGAAATAAAACAAGGGGGGGAAATAATGATATTGGCAAAACCAAACCCAACAAAAATCAGATACATACTCTTTTGTCATGTTCAAATGCTGACACGCAGCACACACCGAACAGTTTGTGACTCAAACTTGAAAGAAATTAGAGAATTTGGAGATAATAGATGGATAAAATGCAGTTGTGTTATTATTCAATGAATCACAAATTTATACACAATTGGGTTACCCCACTTGGACTAGACATTACTAACAGAATTTAGTTACTCTTTTAAGTGACATTGTGTTCAACACTTTTACTAACAACTAACTACTTTTAACTGTTCAAACTAACCTGAATTACACAATTCAATAGGACGAAGGATCACGAAGTTGCAGCAAGCTTCACAAATTATGTTGTTAAAATTAACTAAACGGAATTATTAGAATAGCTACCTGAATTGTAGCCACAGTGGCCCTTTAAAAAATGCAATATCCATTTAGGTGGGAAGCAAGAGGGAGGATTAAAATGATAATTTGATTTTAGCTATTTATTGTTTTAAAATGATTAGAAACTTATACAGAATGTACCTCTTTAAATATATGTATGTAAACAACTGAATCTGAAAACAGAAATCATAAAGCCTACTCATCTGGTTAGATGTGAAAGCAACTCCATGTATTAAAAAGGTAGTATGACTTACCTGGCTACTTTCATCATGCACCTGATATTTTGTTAAAGACATTCTTCTTTCCTCCTACAGCAAACAAAGCATTAAAACATTATCAACCATGCAACAATCCTATATTAATAGTCAAATGAAACAGTATTTTTTTTTCAAGAAAATAACTGACCATGGACATTGCCTCGTCATCCCATACTAAGTAGACTTCGTTAGTGGCGGGCTGAGTAGCAGGAGCTTTGTTTGAGATTACTGGGGGAGGTCCAATTGAAGGACCACCAGTATTTGGGCCAGACGCGTAAGAATGGGAGTTACTTGCTGTCCCACCTATAAGAAACCAGGGGGAGAAGAAAATGAAAATTGCATGAATCGTATAAAGTTGACCTTAGATGAAAACAATAAATTTTGAGTGCCAAGTTTACTATTTATATCTAACATACTCAGTTGTGTCACAAAGCCAGTCACAATGGTTCAAGGAAAGAAAGTCACAATGGTTCAAGGAAAGAAAAGAAAATGTTACCTTGAAGCCCTATTGCTTGATAACTACTTGTCACAGAAGAGTTAATGCCCAAATGTGCATCCATAGGGACATTTGAAGAAAATACAGGATTTCCTGATGGAACAGTTGATGACAGAGGTGCAGCGGAAAATGGAGAACTTTGAGCCGTTGTGTGATTATTTCCAACAACAGGAAATAAAGGCTGTGAAACTGGGACAGAAGGTGTAGATGTTGGCAATCCAGGAGGAGTAATCTGAGCTTGTAATGCGGGTGAATTAGTTGATGGCATTGGAGGCCTCATATTCTGCACGGGAAATAATGGTTGATGTGCGTATGGAACAGGAGGGGGAATTGAAGCAGCTGGAGGCTGAGCAAACCATGGCTGAGGTCGAGGTGGAGCCACTCCCCAAGCATTAGGAGGCATTGGTAGAGCAGGATTATACCTGTGGCAGAGATAAGTAAATAGACAGATTTCACAACACTTTTCTAATTAGCAAAATATGCATAAATATATTACTTCTAAGACATTCCAAATGAAACAGAATTTCAACTAGGAGAAATAAAATGAAAAGAAATTTTAACAAGCATACATTGGTCGAATTGTTCCCAACATCGTTCGTGGAGGATATCCGGCACCCATAGGAGGTGGCGCCATTCCACCTAAAAACGGAGTTGATGGGATATCCACCTTGGCTGTCTTTGATGGAACATCATCATCTGCATTACATACAAAACTGTCAGAGAATATTAAACCATTTTACGAGTAAATGCAACAATATTTTTACCATCATTAACAATATTTCTACAAAGCATGTATCTAAAATAGTAAAATATACCAAAACCTAATGACATCAACGCTACCGGCAAAACATAAGATTGCAGAAAACAACATCTACCCGACATGTCTAGTGTGCAATAGAACATGATCAGGATATAAGAGAAAGAAAATTTATTTTATTTAACGAATGTAAACTAATCTCAAATCTTTTAGAGACCTGAACTCTCCACATCAATGATCAAATCCAATGCCCACACCTATCTGATAGAGCAGGGTCAGAAAAGGAGGGAAAAAGGTAGAACTAATCTCTAGATCAGTGATCAACTTCAATGCCTATTCTTATAACAGTTAAACAGGGGGGCCTATTTCGGTTTCAGCTCTTTATCAATCTGATTATATGCAAAATCTATTTAACAACCGAATCATTAAAATGGAAAATTAACAGGGAAAAAAGGTCCAGAGCTATTTGTACTTGAAGTAATCAAGTTCTCCTGTGTATAAACTACGAAGAAGAACTAACCAACAAGGAGAATAAGATCTATATAAGAGGAAAAAAATAAGGTATAAGACAGGATATTATGACCTTCATCTCCATAATGAGAAGCCAATACATCTGGTGGAATCCCTTGCATTCCATATATTTCAATATCTGTACTCTCTCTACCAGGTTTTGCATTTGGCACCCTGAATAGAAAAAGGAAATAAATCACAGTTCAGTAAAATTCATATTTTGATAACACTCCACAAGCATCTATACAAACATTAGTAAGTTCATGCATCTTATAGCACAAGTGCTTATCAAAATAAGCGCTTATGAATAAGCTTACATAAGCTATTTTTTTATAACAAAAGATAATAAATTGAAGCTTTTTGTGTATGCTATAAGTTGTTTTTATAAACTATCTAGGAGAACTTATAAAAATAACCTAAAAAAATATGTACGAAAAACGTCATAAGTTGCTTGGGTAATCTCTCCCAAAGAGTGCCACAAAACTTATGCCAATAAATAAGCTCAAATAAGCCAATCCAAACAGACCCTTTATCTATTAGCATAAGCACTTCTGAGACGGTTTGAGTGAGCTTATAGCTTATATGAAAATTGATTCACTAGGAACATGATCATCATTACCAATGGAAAGAACAAAACTTACAAACATTCCTCAAAATGTAACCACAGACCATAACATCAAAAGAAAACAAAATACTGAATTACATGAAACATTTAATATGATTAGTGAGCATATAAACAAGTACGAAAAGAAAATTTTAAAAAAAAAGTAAAATCGAAAACCCTAAATAACGAAAGAGAAAAAGGAATATACTTGGTGACGTTTTCCTTGTGAACCTGAAGAACATGAATGGACATACCACCGGCAGTAGAAAGCTTCTTATGACAAACATGACACTTAAAGTGCTTAGCTTTCTGATGCTGAACCAAGATCTTCTCGTCATCGAATTCACGATCGCAGTAATAACACCATACTTTCGAAGCGACTCTCTTCTTCTTCTTCCCCATAAATACTCCGATTCTGATAACCAGGTCGCTAGGGTTTCGAGGTTTTGGTCGGTGCCGTTCAACCACCCTGAGTTGCGACTGCGATGGAGGAAGAGGAAGAAGAAGACCTAGGGTTTCTCAAATTTTGGTTACTCTTGTTTTTGTTTTTGCAAATAAAGAAAACGAAACATGGTAGGGTCATAAATGTAAATTGTTATAAGCGCGTGTAGTTATTCATGTAATTGTAGATAGTTTTGTGGCTAATTTGAAATATTGATATTTATTTATTTGATTGATGGTTGATGTAATGTATCTACGGTTTGTGTTAAAAGATTTGGGAATCAATGGCTGAATATACTGCTGCTGATTGCATAGTTCACTTACTATAGGGTAGATAAAGATTTGACAAGAGAAATTTACGTGGAACGAAATTTAATAAAATAAATTTAAAAATTGAATTGCTAAAATAAAAAATTAGTTTTAAAAAGTTGATATGTTTAGTTTTGGGTTTCTATTATATTTTTGTCTAAATTTTTTTCTTAATTCGTTTTATTTTTTTAGATTCAATTTCTTTTTTCATAAATATTAAAATTGATGAGTGACTTTTAATATTTAAATTGATCGTTTCTTTCTAAAGTGATTTGGAGTGATCTGGTGAAGTGAGAGAAAAAAGAGCATCGTATTTTTTATTGCTCTTAAGTCCAAAATTTTGGGGAGGTCCAATTTATAATTGTCTCTTAAAGACTATTATGTGTGCAAATACAAATATGATAATTCTAACTCGTAACTCACTTCATTGTTAGAGAAACTGACTTGAGTGTTCGAGTGTTAATATTGTAAGTTCATCTTCACACCACCGCACAGGAGAAACGTGCATCATCCTAATGTGTAACTACAACAACAATTCTAGTTCTAGCACAGAATAGTGGCGCCGTCTATGGAAAACGGTAAGTATTTCCTATAAATTTTCACAATTAGTTTTTTGATCTGATCATTGATCTGATTCGACCAGATTTCATTAACTCGATCATATTTTTTCCCATTTTATATATCTACCAATTCGACGATCACAAATAGATGGACATAATCACGATAATTTCTTGATTGAGATCTTCTTCAACTTTCACCATTTATAAAATCTAAGAAGATATGCTCATGCAAACCATATTTTATCCTTCACCACCAGGCAAGTGTACATCCTCATACAAGAAACGAGAAGATGATAGACCAATCATAAGAATTCTTGATCAGGAGGAAGTGGATGGAATTTCCAATGTTTCTCTTCCACAAGTCATTACTACCACCATTTATAATCCTTTCGTCTTTGACGTCCTGGAAGATGGTGGAAGTTCATGCAATTTGACTTACTTCAAAAAATTTGCTAAAGTAGGCTTTAGGGTACAAGACCTAAAGTCCTGTGAAAACCAAAGTCCACTTGCTTTTAATGATTCGTTTACTCATCCTTACAGTTGTCATGTCCCAAATTTGTCTGTCTCATTTTTATAACTTGGTTTCATAAATTTTTTGGGTATTACTAACATTTTGGGTTTTATTTGTTTTTAAGACTATTTAAAAAATATAATAATTTATTTCAAATTATTTATATTTTTAAATAGCAAATACATGCTCACTTTTCATATGTTTTAAATTGCCTTTTTCATCTTGAATGAAATGGCATAGCATAATTGGTAAAGAAGCGAGTTTGCAGATAAAAAGTCATAGGTTTGAATCTAACTTGGTGCATTTTTTTGATATGTTTGATTTATTATCACTAATTTTATTTCCATCATAAAAAAAATCATTTTTTTATTATTTAAATATTATTTTCGTATTTTTATTATGGTATTTTTAAAAAGTATAAGAAATATGAAAAATATTTCCTTTTTTAAATAGGTGTTTCTTATTGGCCATTTGATGTCAATTTGTGTCACACTTAATTTCTGATTGGTCAATTTTGTTTTTATTTCCAATTTAGATATTTTTTTATCTATAAATATGACATGTTTGTCACACTTTTGGACATCCACAATTCACGCACAATTCACACATGATTCACCCACAATCATCCACTATCTAGCAATTTTTTACACACACATTCACAAACTCACTTTTGTAATTTCTTTTCAAAACTTCTTTCTCAAAACTATTTGGCCAATGATTAACCTATGAGACCACTATCTTTTATTTTAATTTTTTAATTTTAATTCGTTTGCTATCTAATCATATGATGATATTATTTGATGGTTACTTTTCTTAATTATATTTTCTTACTAACAATTTTTAGGAGGCCATTTTTCCATCCACAAACTTTTCCACACAATACACATTCACTTCCTACAAGAAAAATCTATTGTACATATTACACTCACTAAGAACCCTTCTCACGTTATTTTACACCATATACCATAAACAACTTTTTCACCAAAAACCACAAGTGTTATACACTATTTTCCACTTTTGACGTTCATGTGTAATTTGCACTAACATCATAAAATATTTTCTCCATCATACATACTTACCACCATAAAAATATTCACACATCATAATAAAATCTTTTTCTAATTTACTCCGCAAAAACGTGTTCAAAACTCAAAGCTAACATCTTCACAAAACCATTTTTATGTCGTTTCTGAAAAATTCTTAATCATAATAGCACTTCAAATTCAAAGAAAAGAAATGAAGTAAATCTAAATTCGAAAGAGTGAAACAAAAACAAAACTCATGACACAACCTGCATAAACATTTCACAAATTTTTCCCATCAAAATTAACAACGCAATATCAATATTAGTACAAAGTTTTTTTTTGTTATTGCAGAAATAAGAAGAAAAGAGAAAGTCACCATGAAATCAAAACTCAACCAAAGCTCAGTTTCGGCCAGAAACCAACAAACCTTATCGGACATCTCCACTATTGTCGCTTGTGTACCCAACAGCCACTCGTCGTTCCACCGTTGGACCGACAATAAACCGTCGGCAACACTTTTAGTCACAACACCCCGTGGATTTGGATTCAGATCTGGTAAGCTCTTGTTCTAATTTTGTTTCTTCTTCACTTATATGGTTGTTATTGTTTTAATTGTTACTTAATTTTTATTTGAGTGGTTTGTATAGAGGAAAAGAGAGAATGAATTTGAGAGAGAATAGAATGGAAAAGAGAAAATATATAGGAGAAAAGGAAGATTGTATTGGATCTGTTGCTATCTTGTTATGCTCTTTTGTATTTTAATTTTTTTTAAACAACACTTATCGCATTTGGATTGGTGGATATCTTTTAACATGATGTAACCAAGTCAAAAGTTATGGTTTCTAATTTATTCTTGTTGTACCCCAAAATTTACGCTCTTCATTTCGACATTTTTGGCTTACATTTCATTATTACATACATGCATATCATTGGTAGTATGGTTATGGGATCAAGGTATATTTAGCAAGCTTCGTCAGGTTACAAGTGACGTTTATTTCACCAATGGATATTCTCAGAGTATTTTCCATGCTGAAGATCGGTTCATCGTTTTGCAACGATTCGGGGTTCAAAGATTCATAAGTCCAACCAGGCGTGTTATATTCAAGTGTTCTTTCGCCAAGATATCTCTGATAACGTATTTTAAAATTCAGGTTCGACTCAAGAGTCAATTCTTTAAAGAAGGTCTCCGAACATGGCAGTTTTCTCGAAGAAATATGGTGAAAAAGTGTGCTGAAAGTGAAATTTTTACGCACTAAAAAATTCATAACTTGAAGATCGTGACTCGTTTTGAACTCGTTCCAGTGGCTAAAATTCCATCTTGACGTCATCTACATCTTCGTCTCTCACGGCTGGAAGCCAATTTCAATCAGAAGATCTTAAAAAATGCGGACTTATCAAGTATTTTCGTATAGAAAATTTGTGACAAAAGTTTATTTGCGTCATGTTCAGAAAAACATAACTCGATCCATTTTCATTGTATCGAGCTGGCTCCGGCGCCAAAATTTCACAAATTGAGTTGGCTACATTTTCACATGAGATATCGAGTTTGAACATGTTGTACCCCAAAATTTGCCCTCTCATTTATCAAGACTTTTCTGACAAGATCTCTTTGACTCAAGACTGGATTAGGGTTTGATCAGCTCAAGACATCTCATCACGCACTGATAACCCAAAATTAGGGTTTGGGATTGCACAAAGATTTTTGGACTATCAATGCTTCATATGACTTTCAAGTATCATTATAGACCCCTAAGATTACTCATGTCAAGTTTCAAGCTTTGAATCACATTTTTGATCAGTCAATTGGACAGTTGACCTAAAAACCAGCTGCATTGGGGAAAAAGTCAACTATGGCCAATTTACAGTCAAACTTCACAATTTTTTATCCACATCAACATTTTAGACTCATATGAATCATTTGATCAAGTTTGGACCATAATTCCTCAATAAATTTGATCAAATCATAAAAAGGGCAAAATGGTCAAAATTAGGGTTTTGACTGAGAAAGGGCAAATTCTGTTTTTTTTTTTACCTAACAAATGATCAATTGAATTAAAGCATGATTTCAAGAGTTCAATTGCATCATCTTGACCCAAAGCCATGGGTTAAAGCATTGCAAATCTATTGGATTGACAGATAAATTTTGCAGTCAACTGATCAAAAGTCAAATGTATACTGAAAAGTCAAACTTTGACTTTTTTGGTCAAAATAAAATGCCAAGGATCACAATTCATCAAAACATGTCAAAATATGAAATTTGTTCATCAAGAAATCAAAGATTAAAGATTTTGTTTTGAAATTTGAAATTTCTTAACTTAGAAATTTTTCTAAGTATAGAAAAATTCTTATTTTATCTCATCTTTGAGCCAAATTTTCACCATGATACAAGTTGATTCAAAGAAAGTTCCCAACATGAAATTTGTAGATCTCCATGAAATATAAAAACTTTGCTTCACACAATTTCTCCTAAAGATGCTTGGATCTCAAGATATAATTTTGTGAATACATGCTCATGAACTAAAATAACTTAGTGAAATTTTGTCCTAATTTAGGCAG